CGGTTTTTGTTACACGGAGCGTATACGTATTCCACATATCCAGGAAAATTACGTATACGACGTATATATCAGGTAAGGAAAGAGTTCTTAATTCACATTCATAAAGAAAGTTTTCTATTCTAATGACTATTGTTTTTTTGAAGACATATCGAAGCACGAGATTTATCATGGATATTAAAAATGTTGACCCTCTGTGGGGGAGGTACCAGAGGGAATGGACCGATATCACCCATCTTCACAGCAGATATTGTGTTAGTAGGATTTATGGGATGTGTGAAATATGAAAAAACCGGATACCTATTTCTTCCGGTTTTGTGCTTGTTTTTATTCAAACTTTGGACCCTTTGTGGGCCGATATATAGCATCTACACACCAGGCCTTGGCTTAACAAAAATGTTGTGATATGTGTAATTTTTTATAAAATTTAAAATTATTCAAAATGTTGACCCTTTGTGGGGGAGCTACTTGATGGAGTGGACCGATATTGTCCATTTTCGCATCTCACCTAGCAGTGATGCAAATATTTGGATTTTCAAAGATGGAGCAGAATTGAATGATCATTTCTCTTTCTCTGCAGGAAAACAATTTATGTGAAAATTTTTTTGGGGAGGGTACCAGAAGGAGTAGACTGATATCACCCATCTTCGATCTAAGTTTGACAATAAAATTACGTTGTACCAAATCGGGAGACATCGCTAGATCGACACCAAAAATTGTGAAAGGGATTCGGTTTAAAGAGACCTATGGTCTAAAACCGTTATTTTGGCCATATCAAATGATTTTAGCCATAGTTAATAATTCTAGATCGATTACAAATGTCCAGAAATGGATGTGGTCCAAAGAAACCTAGGATCTAAAACCGCTATTCCTAGCCATATGGCTGAAGGTATAATTGCATTAGAACCACTCTTGCAGTGAATAGATTTGGAAAATCGTGCCTTATGGGTATTAAAAGGAAGTAAATGTGGCAACATTGATTTTCGATCGATAGAATGGAGAAGAAATCGGAAATCGGACCTCTAACAAGTCTATGGGAGATATACGAAAGGGGTTTTGTAGTACCTTACTAAGACGATACGACAATTAATGATATTTACAAAATTTGACACCATTCAACAATTTGATGTTAGTCACTGTTATGGATTTTTATGGAGGTATTGACAGTCACTGATGGAGTGCAGGATAGATGTATGTATAGATGTTTTTGGAAAAATTCAAACTTTAAGGTTATAAAAAGTTCTATAATGGTATTAAACTCCTGAAATGATACCATTTGATATTATGTGAACGGATGGAGCTAAGAACTTGAAATTACGTATGAGAATCAAGATTGGAAAGTAAGTTTGAAGGTTGTTTTCAAAAGTTGTACTTATCGTGCGAACTGTTATTAAATTAGGAGCAGTTGGATTTAGGGTGAACGGGTGAAGCTGTAGTTTTGAAAGTTTGTATGCGGGTCCCCGTTGGTGATTGGTTAAAATAAAAAATAAAAATAATATATTTGGTACAATTTGGTATTGGATGAACAGATAGTGCTTGAAATCTAAAATTTGCTATTATGGTCGCTGTGCATGTGTATCCTGGATATACTAAATGGTACTAAATTTGGAACATTTTGAAATTTTGAAAATTGGTATCGGTGTGTCCTTTGGTAGTAGGCGAAGTACAATATTTGTAAGAAATGTACTAAATAGTACTAGTTTTTGGTACAAACAGTTCTTGAAATCTAAAATTTGCTATTATTTTGGACATACGAAGGTGGCTTCGGAAATGGTGTGGTACTAAATTTGGTGTTGGGTGAAGAGATATAAACAAAATTCTGAAACGTAATATTTAGATTACTGATGGTACCTGTGTTTGGGAAATGGAGGCGTTTTTGGAAATGTGTACTATATTTGTATGAAAAGTTCTAAATGGTTCTAAATTTGGCTTTGGACTACGGGATCCTTAAATTTTATATTGAGTTCTCTGTTGATATCTGGAATTCAAATATGGATGTGTTCCTTTGTGAAATGTGAACTATAATTGTTCGAATTGTACCAAATAGTACTAATATTGGTATTGGGTGAAAAAATGGAGCTGAAGTATTGAGGTTTAATATTTTTGGTATATGGGGTGACATTGGGAAACTGTAACCAACTTCAGACTGATGTCATTTCTAAGCCACTCGTACGAGTGCAAGCGTACAAAAGAATTTTGGTGAGAATTTTCCACAAAAAAAGTTATTTGTGATGAAATTCAAGCGTGATAGTGTGATTTCTTTATATTTGGCTGGAAAACCACAAATGGCTATCGTTAGAAAACTCCAGCATTTAAATGTGAATAAATCTTTTGTGTCTCGTACCATCGCTCGTTACCGTGATACTGAGAGCGTGGCCCGACGTCAAGGAAGTGGACGAAAGAAAAAAGCAACATCAGCAGAAATGGTTCGAAAAGTAAAGAAGCGACTTTTTCGAAACCCAGTGTCGCAGTGGCCGAAAAATGGCTCTTGAGCTGAACATATCGCAATATTCCATTCCGCAAATATTGAAAACTGAGCTCGGAGTAAAGCCATTGAAATTCCAAAAAATGCAATAACTTACACCGCAACAGAAAGAAAATAGACTCAAAAAAGGTACAGAGTTGCTTCGCTTAGCCGAAGGTGGTGAACTGCCTAATTTGGTTTTCTCCGATGAGAAAACATTCGTTGTCCAGCTGTTTGTAAACAAACAAAATAATCGTGTATACTTGCCAAAGAGGTCAGCTGAAAATGTGCACTTTCGGTGGGCCACCAGAACTCAAGCGCCGGTCATGGTGATGGTGTGGGCCGTTATAATAGCCGATGGTCGCTCTCCGCTCGTTTTAATCAACCGTGGCATCAGAATAAATACCGAATATTATCGCGAAAATATTCTGAAGGGGTGTATTAAAGGCTTGGGCACGCAAACATTTTGGCCGCTGACCTTGGACATTCCAAGAGGACTCAGCACCATCGCACCATCACGCACCACCCAAGAATGGTTACAAAATGAGGTTCCTCGTTTCATTTCCAGCGCACAAGGGCCACCATTATCTACGGATACCTATCCGTTAGACTATTGTGTCTGGAGTATTTTGGAAAGCAAGGTTGGCACTAAAATATACCAAAGTGTCGATCACCTCAATCAAGCGTTTCGCCGGGAATGGGCCAAAATACCGCAGAGCAACATACGGGCAGCGTGTGACGGTCTCATTGGTGTTTGCAGGCCATAATTCGTGCCAAAGATGAGAAATTCGAAGAAATCTAAACTTATTCTAAAATTTTATACTATTTCCGACATTTTTTTGCTTTCATTCAATAAAATTGAAAGAAAAAAATTAAAAATTATGACGTTTGCCTTTGTTTCAGTTTTTTATATCACCCTGTATCCGGAATTGTGATATGAAGGTGGTTTTGAAAATTCGTAATATATTTAAACTAAATTTAGCGTTGGGTGAAGAGGTAGAGCTGAAATCTTCAAATTTGATATTGAGATTTTTGTTTGTATCTGAGATATAAAGCTGTACTAAATAATACTAAATTGGGTAATGTGTAAAATTTGATATAAGGAGTCCCTGTTGGTGTCTGAGATTGAGATATGGAGATTATTTTGAAAATGCGTACTTTAATTGTATGAAAGAAACTAAATTCTTCTAAATTTGGTATTTGGAAGGAATAGAGCTGAAATAACGAAATTTAATATGAATGTCATTGTTGGTGTTTGTGGTTGAGAGTACTATGAACGTACGAAAAATGCAAAATGCCACAAAATATGCCGTTAAGAGAAGGAAGTGGATTTGGGAATGCGTACTATAATTGTTAGAGCTTGAATCCCCAAATTTAGCATTCGGTCGAAGGAGTAATGTTGGAATTCTTTAAACTGCATGAGGCTTCTTGTGTGAAAAGATCAAAAATAATATGTAATATGGGTATTTGTACTAAAAGTGTGCAGAATTCATTGTGTTTAAATTCGATCCCCTACAGAAGGATTTTTATCTAAAGTGTTTAAATTCGATCCCCTACAGAAGGATTTTTATCTAAAGAAGTCCTATAAGGGTTTTTTATCTTTAGTGAACCATTGGAAGTTTTTTAGTTTGTAGACGTCATATTGAAGGCCTATCTGAAGGTTTTCTATCAGTCGAAGAACTAAAAAATGGCTTATATCGCTAGTAAACTTATAGAAACTCATCTAGCCATAGAAGACATCTAGAAGCGTGTCTATGCATAAAAGTTTTATAGAAGGTCTCCTATCTACAAAATACCTCGAATCTATAGAAAAACTAAAAAATTTTAATCTTTAAAAAAATTAGAAGTTCTTCTGTCCACGGAAGTAATGAATTTGCAATCATTCGCGTACATTAGAGGACGTAAATAAGAGATGCCGTCAACAGTCCTTTTGGGAAGTAACTGTTTGATTATACAGGTCTTCTTGCTTTTAAATTTTACGTTCGGCGATCATTATGCGAATTTGAACAAGATTCAGACACACTTCCTCGCTCTTTATCATTACTCTTGTTCGCCTAGCTAGCTCCTTACCCTATAGTCAGCTGCTTTATGCCATGTCTACTCCCATCAACGGAATTTTATCACCATGGCTATCCTAACACGAGAACTTCCGACAGCGATCCAAATACTTCCGAGCCAAGGGTAAACCAATTGATTATCTCAGAATTTACTGTACTTAAGCTTTGTCTACGATTATCTCCTCAGCTCTGAACAAAATCGTTGTCCAATATTCTATCATTTTTTAGCTGATATCTTTTTCAGGTGTACAATTTTTATAAAAACCCACTTTTCTTCAACAACAACACCGCAGTCCTGAGGATTCCCTTGTTTATCTCCAAACTGGACATCTCAATAAAAGCATTCATTGTCACACATATGACACATAAATGGAAACCATAAACAAGAAGCAAACTACTACATAAAATAAATATAAGTTCATCTTCACATGACGGGACGAAAGAACCCGGCGGAAAGGGGAGGAACCATGAACAATACTCACCGCAATTTCCTGTGTCGCATGACGGATACAATGACCAGCATGTTGCCGAGTATGGCAGCGAGGATGATGAAACCGATAATGAAACACTTGACGATGACAAATGTTAAATGCGACTCGCTGAGGGCATCGATAGGAACTGAACTGCTGCCACCACCGCCGGCACTGCCGCTGCCGGTGATGTCTGTGCCAAGGCTGGCCACTGAAACGGGACTAACGCCTCCATCTGTGGAGCCACCAATGTTGCCAAAATTACTTATACTAAACGGATCGTCCATGTGGCCAATTTCCAGAGCATTGCCAGAGCCAACGACGGCACCACCACCACCTATAACGCCGCTGGTGTCCAACAGGCCGTTGGCCACAAAATTCAAATATTTCGAATTTGTGTCCTCGGCAATGTGTATCAGATGATTGTGGTGAGACGACTGGTACGGCTGGGAGGCAGCTGAAGCCGACGACTGGTGATGCAGATGTTTGTGATGTTGTTGTTGCTGCTGCTGTTGCTGATGATGATTGTAACCACTCCCACTGTTGTTGCTGCCACTGAAGACATCGTTAGGCGAACTGAGGCCAGCCGGCATGGAGTCGGGCGCTGAGGAACTTGTAATAGTTGTCATGTTTATCAAAGATGTTAGCAGAGAGTTGGTGGCTGTGGCAGCGGCTGTTGCCAGGGTTGTTGTGGCAAACGATGTGGTTGTGGGGTGGGGTGGTAGCAGTGGTGGGGGTGTCATCTTTTCGGTGGTCAACAAAAATCAACACTCAAACAAGTCAGTCTCTTAAAGGGGTATCTTGGCGGGGGAGGGCTTGTTAGGGTTTCCAGGGAAATTCTATAAATCTCCGCAAAAAGTTCGATGGAGTATTCAACTTTTTAACATTCACAACAAGCGGTTTTCTGTGTTTGATTTGTTTTCAAAAGTTCTTCGTTTTTCTTTTTCTCGGGGAAAAATTTCTTTCTCTCTCCCTCTCCCTCTCTTCAATCTGTTGAACACCAGTTTTTCATTAAATGCTCTATCAAGGCTAATACTTTATATGATGGTGTTTTTGTTGTTGTTCTCCAAGGTGTTCTGGTTGTGGTACATTCGCTGACAGCAGGTGCCAATTTCGCTGCTTCTTCTTGTTATCAATGTTTACAATATTGAAGGTGGCGGCGGTGAGGGTGGTGGTGTTGGTGTTTCCCCTTCTCCAAAGGGATTTGTGACCACCAAAATACCTTGGCTTTAAAACGTTTAACTGTCGTATCGGTGTTTTGTTGTTCTTATTGGATTTTAAGCATTTAATGAGACAACAACAACAACCACAACAACATTTTAAATGATAATCGGGACAATTTTGTAATTGGCATTGATTGTGTCCGCAGCGACGTTGGTGATGACGGTGATGATATTTTGGCTGATGATTTTTTAAATATTTGACGACGGTGTTTTTGTCATTTGTAGCGAGGATTTGTCCGGCACCGCCATTACACTTGAAGAGTTTTTCATAACAGCATGACAGACGGCAGCATGGAAAGTGGATTTCCATTGATTGCCACATGGCTGGATTGGGGGAAAACATGAAATAAGAGCAAAAAAGAGAGAGGGCAGTGAATTAAAAACTTGTTTGGAAATTGGTACAGCATAACTTCGCAATACAAATTTAATTTAATTTACAATTGAATCGGGAAATTACATTTGGCTATTTTTTTTTTTCGTTTGCAATTATTAGGTTTAAATTAATCAGTCGGTTTGGCTGACAGAGGTATACTTTCAGCAAATCTTCGTTTATTTAAATACTAGCAAGTGGCCGTGACTTCGTCAGCGAAAAGTCCATCTTAAAATTTCATATTCGTTCCACCAGTTCATTATAGTACTCAAAATACACAATCTGTTCATTTTTATACCCTACACCACAAGGTGGTCAGGGTATTATGTCTCTGTGCATTTGTTTGTAACAGGCAAAAGGAAACGAGATAGACCCATAGTTCCTTTTGATGATCTGCATAGAATCACATTCACAAATTGGGCCTTAAAATAGGTATGCCAAATTTGGTGAAATCGGTTCAGATATAGCTATAGCTCCCATATATATTGCTCATCCGATTTGTTATTTTTGTAATCCGTATACGTAATTTGCCCTCTGTAACAAAAATATTTGGGAAAATATAGCAAATACAGCTCAGAAATACATTTGCTAAATTTTATCGAGATCGGTTCAGATTTGGATATATCTCCCATATATATCTTCGTCCGATTTACCTTTTATTGTGCACCAAACGTCTAATATTTGTCCAAATTGGATGAAATGTGGCACTTACGACCGAATTGAGTCTAGAAGCTGGTATGTCAAATTTGGTGAAGATCGGTTCAGATATAGCTATAGCTCCCATATATATTGCTCATCCGATTTGTTATATTTGTTACCCACAGCCGTAATATGCACTCCGTAACAACGATATTAAGGGAAATATATCAAATACAGCTCAGATATATATTTGCCAAATGTTATCGAGATCGGTTCAGATTTGGATATATATATATTTATCTGATTTCTAATAAATTGTGCACCAAATGGGCAATACAAGTCCGAATTTAAAAGATTCAAATGCTTCGGCATATTTAGTCCTTTGAACTTTAAATTATAATTATAGTCATAACGTGTATGATTGAATTCCCCCATAAAAACTTTTAATTATTATGTGGAGCTCTACTAAATTAGCAAAGTGGTATAGGGTATCATAAAGCCGGCCCCGCCCAACTTTAAAACTTTCTTTACTGGTTTTTTGTACAAAATTTCAAAAAAAAAAAATGTTCGTATTCAAGTTTATCCTTTATTGAAAAGGAAAGTCGAAAAATTATTTATCTTGTACCAACAAATTCTCAAAATCTATTGTTTTGAAGTTTAGCGAAGTGGATAAAAGTTAAACCTTTGCACAATGGTTTCACATCCAATTTTACTTTTTAAAACTATTTCAACGTCATTTCACAATAAAAATTGCCCACTGCCTTATCTAAATTCTAACAGTGACCTCAATATGAAATTTCACAATTCAAGCTCTATCGATTCACTTAATGGCAAATTTAGTACCATTTTCCACGTTCTATTGATTTATAGTACGAATTTCTAAAACCAGCATCTTCTTTCAATTACAGATACCAAAATTTAAATTCAAATATTAAATTTCGAGATCGCAGCACTGCTTCTTCACCCAATAATAAATGTAGTATCATTTACTACTTTTCGCACAAGTTTTAGAATTTTATTTCTATCCCTTCACCAATAACTAATTTTGTACCACCTAGTACTTTTTGAACAATTATAGTACACCACCTCCATATCTCAATTCCAGATACCAAGAGACATATCTCAATATCAAATTTGAAGATTCCAGCTCTATTCCTTCAAGAAATACCTAATTTATTACAACTTAGTATACATTTCTGAAAACACCTCCATACCACAATTCTGCACAGCAACAGGGATCACAATATCGAAATTGAGGATTCCAGTCCTATCCCTTCAGTTAGCTGACTCGAGACAGAACATTTGTTCCTTAAGCCAAGTTTAAAAAAAGGCCATGTGCGCAGTTTTGCCAATTTGAAAGACAATGTTCCGATATATTGTCTTCGACTTGATCTTTCCATCTAATTCTTGGCCTTCTCCTTCTGCGTGAACCATCAGTAGGCTCGCTTTTATATGCCTTATGAGCTGGGGCATCCTCATCCATTCACACTATATGGCCTAGCCACCGTAGTTGCTGCAGCTCGATAGGTCTGACTATGTCGATGTCCGTGTGTAGATGGTATAGCTCGTGATCGATATTCACCGTCGATGCAGATCGGCCCGTATATCTTTCGGAGAATTTTTCTCTCAAACACTCCAAGCGCTGCCTCATCTGCTTGCGTAAGCACCCATTAAAGTCATACCCATAAAGTCACTGAGTACCTCAAAGCTTTACCGCTCTTAATGTTCGACCCATTATGTCGATGGCGTAGGCGAGCAACATGTGTTGTTTGGTGTACAGAGTGTCATTTCTGTTCACCTTTGCATCTCGAATGACCTTTTCCAGCAAGATGTTAAATAGGTCACACGAGAGGCTGTCACCTTGTCTGAATTCTCGTTCGGTATTGAATGTCCCTTCCGACTCTAACTGCTGCCCTTGTGCCAGTTAAAGTTATCCTGTAATAATTCGTGTTAGAATTCAAGCGTGATAGTGTGATTTCTTTATATTTGGCTGGAAAACCACAAGTGGCTATCGCCGGAGCACTCAGCATTTAAATGTGAATAAATCTTTTGTGTCTCGTACCATCGCTCTTTACCGTGATGCTGGCAGCGTAGGCCGACGTCAAGGAAATGGATAGAAAAAATGGTTCGAAAAGTAAAGAAGCGACTTGATCGAAACCCGCGTCCAACAGGACTCAGCACGCGCCACCCAAAAATGGTTACAAAATGAGGTTCCTCGCTTCATTTCCAGCGCACAATGGCCACCAAAATCTTCGGATACCAAACCGTTGGACTATTGTGTCGGGAGTACCCAAGGGTCGATCACTTCAAGCAAGCGCTTCGCCGGGAATGGGCCAAAATACCGCAGAGCAACTCTCGGGTAGCGTGTGACGGTTTCATTGGCCATTTGAAGGCCATAATTCGTACCAAATGTGATCAATTCGAACAAATCTAAACATATCCTAAAATTTGATGCTATTTTCGAAATTTTCTGCTTTAATTCAGTAACATTTTTAAAAAAATGTAAAAATTATGGCGTTTGACTTTGTTGCAGTGTTTTTATCTGACCCTGTATATTTATCATAACTTGCGAAACAAGTCGGCGATTCTATACAACTTGCTAAATCTAAATATTTCTCCTAACCAGAAAGCTGATAAATGTTCGATTTCCTTTAAATTCTTCACATACCATACATTTTCCAAAAAGTCCACAGATCTCATATACGGTATGGGAAGTAGACGATATAGTCCAAAATATGGCATGTTGTAAAATTTATATCAGCCTTAGGTGAGACACGAATTGGTCAATATTGACCAACTGTTTTGGAACCTCCCTTACAAAGAGTCAATAGTTTGAATAATCATAACTCAAGGCTAGGGGTATGCATCTGCAGGCCAAACTGACTGATACTATTTTAATTGGTTTATTATGAGTTTGAAATGGATTCTACCTCTTGTGGCATAACATGAACTTTTAAAGGATAATTTGACCCACAACTCGTTATTAAAATTAAAACAATTTTCCTGATCAAAACTTGTGGATTTTTAAAACATATTTTCAGACATCTCCTTACCGCAATATAATATTTTGAAGGGCCACCTAGAAGTTATTCCTGACTACAAAACGTAAGGGATGTTCTGGTCAGAACTTTTGGATTTTTTTTGGGTTTTTTTTTTCAGGAATATTTTGAGATACTTCCTGGCCACATAAAGTGGACTTAGAAGAAGGACCTGACAACAAATTTCTGGTATAGTTTAAAGGATATGGTGGTCAAATTATCTCCTGACCAAAAAAAGCATGGATTTTGTTTAGAACTTTTTGAAGGAGGCAAATATTTAAAAATAAGTATTTGAAAGATGTCCTGACCACAAATCGTGGAAATTTTAAGAATATCTTGAAAGACGTCCCACCTAAACACAAATAATGTGAAGGATCTGGCTGAATTTTTTGTTAAATAATTGAAGTCTAATGTTGCAAAAAATTGCAGATTTTTCTAACAATATTTTCAAGGTCTAACAATATTTTCGTGGATTTTTAAGAATATTTTGAAGGACTGACCACGCATAATTAATTTTGAAGAACATCCTAATCTCAAACTTGAAAGATAACTTGGTCAAAAATTTTGGGTATTTTTCAGAATACCTTGAAAAATCGTAGATTTTATAAAATTGTTTTGAAGGTTGCCCTAATAAAAACTGGAGCATTTCGGAATTGAAAACAATATTTAGGATATTCTTTTTATACCCTACAACATTATGTGTTGGGGGTATTATAAGTTTGATTGGGCCTAAAATTATGTAACACCTCGAAATATTGGTTTCCCACATAGGAATGTATATATGGATCTTCCTATCTCGCCGAGTTGAGTCGATCTAGCTATGTATGTCCGTCCGTTCATCTGTCCATGTTAATTTGTAATCACTCTACAGGTCGCAATTATGGCCCGATCTTCACGAAATTTAGAATGTAGGTGGGGTTAAGGTCAGAAGATCGATCCTTGGATGATCGCATAATATTTAGGGGTTGAAATGGACCAAAAACTGGAAAATTTCTTGATTTTGCAGTTGCAATTATAGACCAATCGACGCGAAAGTTAGCATGGTGCTAGAGCTTAGGGCTGGGCAGAAGCCTTCCAAGCCTTCATCGGGTAATATTTAGTGGGTGAAATAGGCCACAACATTTGTGTTAAATAAAAGTCAAATTTTCAATTAAACCGCGAATATTATGCTAAGTGTAATATCTGGGCAGTGCTCCGTGACATAATTGCAAAAGCGAAATCTTCCAAAATGGATTTGGACATAAAGGGGCTTCAAACATATTGTAGTGTTGTAGGGT